AGTTGCTATACCATAGGTTGACTGGACAGAATAGAATCTCCTAAAGCCACAAGTGCAAGCATCATAATGGGAAATGAATGTTCTAGCAGGACAGAGTAACACATGTAGATACACAAACAAAGCAATAATGCTAATAACAACTTGTAACTGCGTTTCCTGAGCACTTTCCCTATATGTTTGGCAGTGTCCTAAGTGCTATCCCCTTTAAAGGATTACACCTTTTTGTCTTTGTAACAGTGCTGTGAGATGACTGTCATTACTAGGTACATTTTAGAGACGGTGAAATGTAGGGACAGGAAGTTAAGTAATTGGCCCAAAGTCATGTGCTAGATTTGAAACTGGTCAGTGTAGTACCAGAGCCAGACTTCTTTATTACCTTTCCGTACTTAGAATAGATCCTTGGTAAATAAATCAGGGGTGGCAGTTTGAGAAAATGTTTAAAAGATTTATTTTTATTTATTTATGCATACAAGAACTGGGGTACAGGCCAGAGGTGTGGGGGATGAGAGGATTCACCAGAGACAGAGTGGGGAGGAGAACAGGTGGATTTACTGAAATCCACTGCTGAGGGGAGCAGAGGGTAAGTCAGGTCTGCTGCACCATGTGGGTTAGCTCCCTGACTAGGGATTGAACTCGCTGCAGTGGCTGCCAAAATAGCTTCATAGCACTGAGACTTTAACCCCTGTGCCACCAGGGAGACCCCTGAGAAAAATGTTTAATCATCAAGTTTGTCGGAGTTGCCAGTTGGGTGTGTAAAAGAATGGCCCACAACAGTGCATAATCTGTTAAACTAAAACATTCCAGATGCAAAACTTCAGGACATCAGGTCAGCACCAACCTGTTTGCACTCATTGCAGATCATGAATCAAATTGCTAGCTGCCAAATCTCAAGAGTGTCTTTGATCTCTAATGCCCTCTGTGTTTCAGACTTTGGTTTCTTCTCTAATTTTTTCATAGCAATTAAGATTAGCCTGCGTTCTGACTCCCAATAGATAATCACAGTGACCAGTAATGGAAGCTGCCCTTCAAAGAATGTATTCCTTGTCTTATTGTCTTGTGATTGAAATAATATTTGAAGCATTTCTATTAGGTCCTTTCTACTGAAAAAACTTAAGTTGTATCTCCATTGACCATACTCTAGTGAAGTTCATACTTCAGAATGTACCACGTTCATGGCTTGGTCATCGAGAACTCAAAATTTCCTCAGTCAGACTGACAGCAGATACGAGAGTATTTCTCTAGTAAAATACGTTATTTACTTGCTAAGTTCTTGGACAAAGTCAAGATTAAGGAAGATATCTGGACTGGGGATACTTGTGTCTCTCAAGCATCCTGAGATAAAGCGGGCTAAGATGGACTTTGAGCAGCAAGGTATCCCATTGGCCACATGGCCAAGTAGACTTTTCAAAGCATTATTCTCTCAATGGCTTAAACTGGGACACAGCTTTCTGGGACACTGTCAGGCAGTAACCACCAGTGTTGGCACTACCCATGTGGTATACAGGAAGGAGCAACCAGAGGGGACCTGTATGTCCTTCACTCAGCTGTTGTGGGGTGAAGATGGATGAAAATGGATGACTGGGTGTGGTAGAGAGAATGTGAACTTTGAAGCTTTATGTTTCAGCTCTGTTGCTCACTAGATGTATTGCCATAGAGAACTGTAAAAACTTTATGATGCTCAATTTTCCTTTTTTTTGTAAAATATACATAATACCTAATGCTAAACCCCACGACTTTGGTCCATATGGTATAGAATACATATTTCCAGCTGTCAGCTGTTTCTTTCACTATCTGATAATCCTAGAAAATCAGGTGTGTATGTTCTTTATATTGTTCTTTCTTCCTGGGATTTCTTCATTTCCATGTGTCTGAAATCTACCTCTTCTTCAAGTCTAGTTTAAATACTGTTTTTAAAACAACATTTCAGTGCCACCAAACAGAAATAATTTCTCTTTTTTTCTCTGTTACAGCCGCCCTTGGGGGTGCTCAGTGGCATTTAGTAAGCCCTTCTTTAGGGTATACTCATTTATATGATGCTTTTTATTTTTCCTGATGGACTACAGGCTCCTTGTGAAGGAAATAATATCTGGTCCATCGCTGTTTCTCCCTGCAGTGCTTAGCATGGTTCCTTGCGTCTTGGCAGTCAGTAATTGTGTGTTTAATTGAATTGAATGAGAGAAGTGAAACTGAACTTTGTGCAGATGCTGGACCTTCTTTCTGCCCATGCTTAAGGGACTCAACTTTTTTTTTTGAATTTTTAATTAATTATTTTTTTTAGGATTTATTTATTTATACAAGCACTGGGTACAGTCAGAAGCGTGGGAGGGTGAGCGAATTCACCAGAGCCAGAGCGGGGAACAGAACAGGCAGACTGACGAAATACACTGCTGAGGGGAGCAGCAGGCACGGCAGGAGAGGTCTGCGCACCATGTAGGACCCTCGCCAGTGGCTGGGGATCGAACTGGTGCTTCAGAGGCTGAGGGTAGCTTCGCAGCCCAGCGCTCAACCACTGCGCCACCAGAGGAGGCCCAAGGACTCAACTTTTTAACAGTCTGACTTAACCTAAGGTGTTGACGGAGACAAAGCTGATGACATCCTCAACTTCGCCTACTTATAACCTTCTCTATTCTTCAGGAACCATGCTCCCTTCTGGTAGATGGAGGCACTCTGAGGATTTTTTAGAGTGAATACATTTTTGAAAATTCTATTAAAAAAAGAATCAAGTCTGGGCCTCCCTGGTTGTTCAAGGTATTAAGATGCAACCTATGAAGCTATCCACAGCCACTGCAGCACGAGTTCGATCCCCAGGCAGGGAGCTACCCACATGGCATAGCAGACCTCTCCTGACTTGCACGCTGCTCCCCTCAGCATATTTCAGTCAATCTGCCTGTTCTGTACCCCACTCTGTCTCTGGTGAATCCTCTCACCCCCTCACCTCTGCCTGTACCCCAGTTCTTGTATGCATAAATAAATATATCTTTTAAAAAAAGAATCAAGTCAAACCAACTTCAAACGTGAAATTGCAGGAGAAATAGCTAAACAATCTGCATTTTTATTTGATTTACAGTTAGGAAACATATTGTTTCTTTCTTTTCTTTCTTAGTTATTAATTTAGTCTTGTTTTTTAAACTACAAGAGTATTCATTCCTTTCTTTGTTTAGCCCCTGTGAGTCTGTCTATGCAGGAAAAAACCAAGAGAATGAATTTGCATATTGGATTTTATATGATGAAAGGAAAGTCACAGGAGAAACTTAAGTTTATAAATAATATTCATTTATCAGGATCATAGATGTATATTGTACATTGATTTTTCCCTTCTATATTGTTGTAGAAATAGTTAATTATCAATTTCCTTTATAGTATTATATGTGCAACTAGGTGATTTTTAAAAATGCCTTTACATCTCCAGTGAAAGCACTGAACTTTGAGGTATGGATGCATGTTGAACATTATGGTGCTATTAATTTTCCATATATGACATCAAAAATATTACCAACATAGGTGAAAATATGACCAACTCGCTCATCAACTTCTAAGTGTATTCAGCTTCTTTTTTCATTAAATCCTTGACTTGAATACATTATTTACCCATTCTGTTGATTCTCAGCAACTGCTAATAAACCCAAAGGATTCAGTCTTTCAGAACATTTTCACAATAGTAGTAATCACTCTGCAATGCTTCACAGTGAAAGGAACATTTTGACTGAAATTTAATTCAAATATTTATGGAATGACTGTAGACTAGAAAACTGGAAGTCCCTTGTTCCTTATATTATTTGAGCTTAGGGTGGGAAGAAGACATGTACCCAGTTATTATAGGTCAACCTATGACAAATATGAGAGAGAGAGGCCGCATAAGGATGAGGAAAAAAAGAAATGAACACTTAGTGCACGTGATGTGCTTTTGGGATGGTATTGAAAACATTTAACAATCTGACCAGGCACTGACCAGACACAAGGGACATTGGCTGTAGTCTAGCACAGAGTCCTGCAGAGCTAGACAGTACCCTTTAAGTTGCCAGGTCATGGGAAGGTCTGAGGGCTCTGGGTACAGTGAGCCAGCATTGGGGTAGCAAGAAGGCACTGGTGGGATGAAGAGCTGTGCATGAAGGGCAGGAACTTTTTTTCCACCTATTTTGAAATATTGAATATGAAATATTTCAATGATCACTGATACAGTCATCCTGATGTGAAACAGCAGATGATTAAATATAGACAACCTGCGAGCTGGGCATTGTTAATTATGTTGATAATTTAAAATAAAGAAATGGCATATCATGGACGAAATAGTGGTACACAGCTAGTAAAAGAACAGAGACTGACCAAGGTCTCCCTAGTTCCAAAGCCCACTTTCTGTATTCGTAACTGATTCATCCTGACATATCCAGAGAAAAAAGAGTAGGAAGATGTTCATGCTTATGGTTTACCTTTTGAGCTGGCCTTTGAAGTCAAAGGAAATCTTATCATCAATATCACCAAGAATATGTAATGTCAGGTTAGTTTGTTTATCTGAGTAAGGATTTCTTTCCACCCTTTTCCTAGTTAGCCTTTTGTCCTTCCCTTTCCCCATCTCTATCATTTTCTTTAGATAAAAGTTCTTAGTCTAAGTTTCAGATGCAGGAGAGTTAAGAGCTTCTGGAATCCTAGAGCCCATCACATTTGTGTCTTCCATGTGCATTTTTCCCAATTAATTGCAGATTAGTTAACAGTTATATTTACCAATTATGAATTGATTCATGCATTATTTAATTAAGCAACTATATTTTCTTGGATTGTGTAAATATGGGGCTTGTGTCCTCAAAGTTTTAGGAAGTTAATTCAAAGATACTGCATCAATCCAAATGTGAATTTGTGTAGGAAAGTGATGCATAACTTTCTCCTGGTTCTCAACAACCCCTTTGTCATGCCATTACATTAGAGGAAGCTAACATATATTCCACAGGTGGAAATGTAAGTATTATGATGTCATATAATGTAACATTCTGAAAATACAACATATCCACTTGAATTTCAAAAGACTGAAAAAGTGAGTAGTCTTTCTTTGGCATTTGTATATATATATATATATATATTAATGTCAAGTGATTGGCATTTCCCCTCATGCATACATAACAATGAATACCATAAAGATTTTAGAAAAATTAAAAACCACAGAACTTAGGTACTCAGTGTTGGCAGACACTGCTGGTATGTTAGCTCTGGCCAACATTTAGAGATCATAGATCATATGTGCAGTTCCAGCCTGCATTGTCTGTGGGCTGCTGTTCTTATGCAGTGGTTAAGCTCAAGCTTGGTGTCCTATCTGCTAGGGTTCAACTTTGAGTATTGTTTCTCTGATCTCTAGCTTCAGACAAGTGGTTTAATCTCCATGTGCCACCACATTTCCTCTATAAACTGGAGGTACTAATAATACCTATTTTTTATAGTTTCTGTAGAGAATAAGTGATTGATATAAGGTGGAACTACGGAGGCCAATGTCTTGAAATTCTTGCACCAAAGCCATAGAGATCTCATCTCTCCCAAGTCTCTTTGTGCCAACACTGTTGTGCCAGGGCCCCCTCTTGCTAGTAATTTATCTTTCTACATGGTTTTCCCAGTTCGTCAATGGGATGGAAAGAAATATAGGGGATTGAAACTGTGACATGAATCTAGAGGTTAATTCTGTTTTAATGCAGTGGTGGGGCAGAGGAAGATAATAATTTTTCCAGCTATTTTGAAATACTGAATTTGAAATATTTCAGTATTTTACCTCTAATATAGCCATCCTGGTGCAAAACAGTAAATGATTCAGTATCAAATATAGCCACCCATTTGCAAACAAAAATATTTCAATATTCTACAACTACTCATTCAATTGAGCAAAATAAAAGCAAAGGAAAGCAACACCTCTACTTTATGATTTGCTTAGCAAGATCCCTAATATTTTTCTAAAGTATAGTTTATAACTGCGGCCATGTCCATGAAACTGTCAATCAACATTCCTTGGAAGCCCAATATGCATAAAGCATAAAGAGGGATTTTTTTAAAGTAATTTTGTTTGTAAAAAGTCATTCCACAAGATGCAAAGATTATCAAGGATTCTGTAGTATCACCCATGTCTATTTAATTGAAATCTTATGTACTTTTTTTGTTTAGAGTTTTTTTGAAAGATGAGTGGAAGTTGCAGTTCACTTTGGAGGGCATGGAAAAGTCAGTCAAGAAACATCACATTAGCACCTCTGAACCTTCTCTTCCAACAGCTCTAGTCCTGAACAGCATCTCCTTTAATACTGATGGGTCCATCGGGTACAAAGAAAAGTCCTATTCCTCTGCTTCTGAAGCCCTAGATGCTTACATTGATGATTTTCATTTAAGCTGTGAGCTTCCTGATATTAACAACACAAAGGTTAGCCTGGATCAGAGTCCTCTTAAATTTCTTGCTAAACTAAACAGTGGTAAGCTTTCATTATTCTCTGAGTTCAAATTTTAATTAACAGTTTTAAGAAGATGTATGCACTGAAAGATTTTTTTCTTGGAAAATAGTTGTCTTACAATTTGTGAATCTTTTCATAAGATTGTTTTATAATTTTATGATTCCAACATTTTTTTCAGCAATGGGCTCCTTTGAATTGGGAGTTAATTACCAAAAACACTTCCCAGCCTCCATTTCAGAGTGGCAAATCTCTGGCGGTGGGTGGGTATTAAAGCCCTGAGCTTTGTGACTGAAAGTGTTATAAAGTTACATATGTTCTCACTTAGTAAAATGAGAATAATGATAATATCTTACAGGGTGTTGTGGGAACTAGATGTATGTGAACATGCTCTGTAAATTCTCATGTAGGGTGAGATGTAGGGTCTGTGGGCTCTTTCTGGAACAGTGAGCACAATGAAAAAGGCAGGAACTTGAAGTGTGAATCCATTCTGCTAATGACAGTTGAGATAGGACAGGAGCCATTTACTCTTCTTGATTCTTAGCTTGTCAATAAAATGAAGAAGACAGCACTTTAAGAGCGCTATAATTTAAAAATTCTATTTTATGTAAATGGCAGAAAAATAAAATTGGCCAACTCCAGTATTTCTCATTTAAATAATGTCATCGTAGAAGTGAAAAAAAATGCCATCATGATAGCAAACGTATGTGTGGCTCTGAATTTGTGGCTTACTGGGCATGAAGCCCTTGGGGAAATAAACTTCTCTGGTAGTAGCTTCTCATCTATAGAACTAGGACTAATGATAATAGTAATAGTAAAAATGCCTGTTCCTCCACTGAACATCTCCTTTTTATGGTGCTATGTTAGCATGCACAAAAGAAGTTTGCAAGGTTCTACATGAAAAAGTAAGGTGACATTTACTGTTACTGATTCAGATTATTATGAACGCAGCACTTGCAATACTATCTCCGCTGTACTTGCATGCAAAGTTTAGAGTTCATGAAACAGCTTCTTATTGTTTCATGAGTGAAAAAACACACATAAGCTTTGGCACAAATGTGACCTGCTCTTAGACAAGAGAAAACAAAGTCTCTTTACAATAAATTGTGCCAGCTATAATATTTGGCACAGTTTAATAAGTGGGTGAGGTAGAAGTGGGAAAATGTGGTATAACTACCTCTATTACCTATGCAGTTGAAGTACAAAATACATTATAATTTATTCAGTAACACTGCTATTTTTTTTTCCTGACAAGGATTATCGTTCTTTTTTTGAGATCCAATAGTAGATAGAGTTTTCTGTATTGTTTTTTCTGGAATCCACAGAAAAGAGATTGTAGCTAGCACTTATTAATGACTTGAAAATGTGGGGCAGGCACTGGCTCCTTCCCTTGTCCGCTTGAGTCACTAACTCCACCATCAGTATCATTTTTGACACTTCTTTACAAAGAGAAATAGAATTTCTACTATTTTATGATTATAAAAGTAATATATACTCATGGTGAAAAAATTTCAGGAAACTCATGAGGAGAAAACAAAAACCAACCATAATTCCAACAAAAGAGATATCTGTTAATAGTTCTTAATAAATGTTCCCTCTTTCTAATGCAGAAATAAAGGATAGAATTGTTCTGTCTACATTGTTAAGTGATTTTTTTAAACTTAAATACATGTGGATATCTGTTCATGTGATTTAAACAGTTCCATGTCTTTACATTAAATGTCTCTATAGCTCTTTATTGGTTCTGTCAGAAAAATTTAGCTGTACCATTTATTCAAAATATTACAATCACTCTTATTTTACATACACATGTGGGTGGTTGTCCAGTTATTTCCTTATGATAAATTTCTAGGAATGGACTTTCTAGGTCAAACAGCCTGCATGTGCTTACAAGTTTGCTTTACATTAGTCCACCAGAAAGGACTAATTTTACATGTTTTCACCAGTGGTGTGAAAGGGTCCTTATTCCCAATAATCTCCCTGTTCCTGATGTGAAGGAATTCTTTTTAATCCTTGCCAACTGATAGGTAAAAATTGGTCTCTAAATTTACGGAGCATTTGCCTTTCTTTTTTTGAAAGTTGATATATAATGATTTTCTTTTGTATATTTAAATCTTTACTTCATCTAGGACTTACTTTGCTCTTAGGTATGGTGAAAACATTATTTTTTAAAACAATTGAACCTGTCACCCCACTTTAACCTAAATTTCCATGTATACTTAAGACATCTGTTGCCTTTTGGTTCCATTCATCTGTCTGTATCATTGCTGCACTATTATCACTCTCTTCATTATAGTAGTTCTAAAGTAAGTTTAATGTCTTGGATAGGACAGAGGGTGAGGACTTAGGAGTTGTGTTTATTCTCAATCATTCACTCTTTCAAATGCATATCAAGATCAAACCTCACAGTTCCCAAGTGCTGGCCTTTGAAGTATTTCAATTAGATCCCTAATTGTCTTCCTGGGCCCAGCCTGGCCCCTCCACTAGGCTCTGCAGACCCTGCAACCAGAGAAGACTTTGTGAAGCACAGGCTCTCTCTGCCATTTGTGTGCTGAGGGCACTGTCATAGCTTCATGCTAATAAGGAAATAAGATTCCAACTCTTGAATATGATCTCGGGGCCATGGGGAATCTGGATCCTACTTAATCTAGTTTCAGTTTTTCATCTATACTGTCACCACACACACACATACACACACAGACACACACACACACACACACACTACCCTTGCCCTCCCTCTGCCTGCTTCGATCCTCTTACCCAGACCTGCCTCTTGCCCACGCAGTACACAAGCCACCTCCTCCCTTTCATATCACTCTCCCTGAGATGGCATTTAGCACTGTGTTGTAAGAACCGTCTGTTGACTTGTCCCCCTGCTAGATTGATAAGGTCATTTCAGCTCTATGTCTTGTTACCATTGTAGTTCCCATTGTAACTTGGCCCTGAGGTACACAGGCAATTCTTGTTGAAGAGTGAAGCAGTGAATGACATGTCCCTTCTCCAGGTGTGTTGTGTGTTGTCGCCACACCAGAATCTTTCTTTTTCATTCTGGACTACCCTTTCTGATGACAGTATGGCTATTAATCTAATGTAATCTAATCTATGATATAATTACTGAGAATAAGAAATGATATTTATTTTCCCCTCTCATCTGATAACATGAACTATTATCAATGTTATCACTGTTATTAGTGACCTACGCAGTGCCAGGAGTTGATAACACCCAGAATATCCTCTATCCAGAGGGAGAGAAGGAGATGGCCACAATATTAACACCTTTGGAGGTACTTTACATTCTTTATAAAATTCTCAGCTGATGATTTTTTTGAGTCAGCTTCTCAAAGATTCACGCCCACCACTCCTTCACTCATGAAACTCACTTAGGCTCATCCTGGGAAATTCCCCTAAAATTTTAGCACAGTTTTCTTTGCGCCCCCAGGGCTGGCTGGGCTGCTGATGTACCTGAGCAGTGTTAGGGGCTGTGCAGATCTTTGCACACCCCAAGTGTAACTGCATATTCCTGCTTCAGTGAGTTCTGTGGGGAGCAGCAACACTTTCTATTATCATTATTTCCTCAGAAGCTGCTACAGTTAAGTGAACTGAACCAAACTAACAAATTATCCTAAAGGATCAAGATCACTACTTTGATATGTCACATAAAGCTATAATTGTCAAAAAATGGGGTGGGGATGACCTATCTTACATATCTTAGATCTTGCACAGAAATTTGGGCGATCCTCTCAGAGAATCCTAACACTGTTTGCATTGGATTTTTTTTCACTGTAATGTTCTTCTGTTCCTGTTGTATAAGGAAGTAGTTGGCAAACTATTTCAGGCAATATTTTGTCTCTTTCTGCCTTAAAAGTCATGCCACTTTCCTCAATGTAGTAGATGTGCTTTGGAAGAAGTAGAGAGAAGATTCTCTTGAAAGATTATGGCAAAACCCTGTGTGACTTGTAATTGAAACATTAATCCCTTGAATACTTCTCTTTTAGTTTTAATGCCATATGTGGAGAAAACGATACGCAAATGCTATAACAGCTTATTTTGTGGATGAGAGAGTTTTTCTACTTTCACAGTAACGAAAATCATAACTATTGATTTGAAGGTGGACTGATCTGGAAACCCAAGTAGAGTTTTGATGGATGTAAGAGAGAATAAAATCGTGTCTCTCTATTCAAAGCAACTGGCAGGTGTTGGCTGAGACCTTTATCCTATCTTCAGTATCTGTGGGGCATTTTGCTACATGATCTTTTTATACCAGTGAGGTGGAAAAATAAGGAACCTGTACATTCATCTTCTTATTCTAAATATTATGAGCTTATTTTTTCAATACATGCTTGTCTGATGTTGAATTGACAAAACACATTTATTGTGCTAAATACATCTAAGTAATGTGCTTGGAATTAAGGTTATTGGGCCAAACGTGACCTCCATTCTGAAAAACCACATTCCCTCCCTCCCAGGACTTCATAGTTTATTGGTAACTCAAGTGAGTTTATTTTTTTTTTTAAAGATTTATTTATTTATTCATACAAGCACTGGGTACAGTCTGAAGTGCGGGAGGGTGAGAGAATTCACCAGAGCCAGAGCAGGGAGCAGAGCAGGCAGAAGGACCAAAGTACACTGCTGAGGGTAGCAGCAGGTGGCAGGAGAGGGCTGCGCGCCATGTGGCACCCTACTCCGGTGGCCGGGGAGCAGCCAGGGATCGAGCCCGTGCTTCAGAGGCTGCGGGCTGCTTCGCAACCCAGTGCTCAACCGCTGCACCACCGGGGAGGCCTGTGAATTCATTTTTTTTAAAGAATTATTTATTTATGCATACTAGAACTGGGGTACAGGCCAGAGTTCTGGGGGCAGGGGTAAGAGGATTCACCAGAGACAGAGTGGGGAGCAGAACAGGCAGATTGACTGAAATACACTGCTGAGGGGAGCAGCGGGCAAGTCAGGAGAGGTCTGCTGCGCCATGTGGGTAGCTCCCTGGCCGGGGATCAACTCGTGCTGCAGAGGCTGCGGATAGCTTCATA